ATAAATAAATAAAATCTTTTTTAAAAACAATTAAAAAAACTCCCAGGTAATTAGGACGAGAGTGGAATTTCCTCAATATTGTGCTTAATGGTGAAATATGAATGTCTTTTCCCTAAGACCAGGTACAAGGCAAGGATGTTTGCACTCATTACCTTTATTGAACACAGAGCAATTAGGCAAGGGGGAAAAAAAGGCATACAAATTGGAAAGGAAAAACTAAAACTGTTGCTATTTGCAGATGATGTGATTGCCTACTTTGAAAACCCCAAGAAATCTACAAAGAAAGCTCCTAAAACTGGCACATTAATTCAGCGAGGTCACAGGGTACATAATACATACAAAAAATAAATTCTATTTCTGTACACTACAATGAATAGGCGGACATTGAAATTAAAGCTACAGTAACATTTTTCAAAAAATAATTATCTATATATAAATTTAACAAAATATGTACAGGACTTGTATGCTGAAAGCCATAAAACCCTGATGAAATTAACCAAAGATCTAAATAAATGGAGAGTCATACCATATTCATGGCTTGGAAGACTCAAAATAATAAAGATGTCAGTTTTCCCCAAATTGATAAATGGGTTTAACAGAACTTTTTAAACTCCATACATTTTGCAGATGATATCCTAAAATTTATATGCAAAGGACAAGAAAATAGAATAGCCTTCACAGGTTTGAAAAATAAAAATAAAGGGGAAGGATCAATTTACCTGGTGTGAAGCTGATTAACATGGCTCCAGTAGTCAAGACTGTGGTAGTGGTGGAGGGATAGACATGTAGATCAGTGCAACTAAATAGATAGCCCAGAGATGGACCCACACAAATATATTCAGCGAATTTTGGAGACAGGTGCAGTGGAGAAAAAAATAGTCCTTTCAGCAAATGGCGCTGAAGCAATTAGACATCCATAGGCAGAGAAATAAACCTCAACCTAAGTCTTTGTAGAAAAATAAACTCAAAAAAAAAAAAAAGAAAAAAATAAACTCAACATGGATCACACCTTTAAATATGAAATGTGAAACTTATAAAATTTTTAGAAAAATATAGGAGAAAATTCTCACGATCTAGGGCTAAGCAAAGATTTCTTAGACTTGATATCGAAAGCAGGATCCATAAAAGGAATAATGGATAAATTGGACTTCATCAAATAAAATTTTTGTTCTCTGAATGACCTTGTTAAGAGGATAAATTGGCAACCTGCAGAGTGGAAGAAAATATTTGCAAAGCACATACCTAGACAAAAGGCTAGACTGTATGAAGGACTCTTCAAAACTCAACAGTTAAAAAATTGTAGAAAATTGACAAAAGACATAGAGACATTTCACCAAAGAGTGTGTCCAAATGGCAAATAAACATGAGATGTTCAGGATCTTTGGCTATTAGAGAAATGCAAATGAAAATCACTATGAGGTATCACTTCACACCTATCAGAATGGCCATAATAAAAACAGTAAACTATGAAATGCTGTTAAGCATGTAGAGAAATGGTCATACATTGCTGATGGGAATTTAGAACAGCTACTCTGGAAAGCACCTCGACAGTGTCTTTTTTTTTTTTTTTTTTTAGATTTTATTTTTTTAATTTGTTTTAGAGAGAGAGAGAGAGAGAGCATGCGTAAAAGAGGCAAACTCCGTGTTGAGCATGGAGCCTGACTGCGAAGTGGTGGGAGTCCATCCCAGGACCCTAGGATCATAACCAGAGCTGAAACCAAGAGTCTGATGATGCTTAACCGACTGAGCCACCCAGGCACGCCTTGACAGTTTCTTAAAAACAAACACACACACAAAAACTAAAACTAAATGTCAACTATCATAAAACCTAGCAATTGCCTTCCTGGGCACTTATGCCAGAGAATGAAGACTTATGTTCACATGAATCTGGTTCATGAATGTTTATAGTGGCTTCATTCATAATAGCCAACCAGGTAATACAATAAAGTGGACTGCTTCCTAATACAACCCAGGTAACCTTCAACAGTTGAATGGTTAAGTAAACTTTGGTAAATCACACAAGTCACATAGTAAAAGCAGGAAGAGTCAGAATTCCAACCTAGGTAATATGACCCCAAAGTCCTTCTCTAGACTAAAGTACTGTATTACCTCTCACCACTCTATAGGCCACATGCTGTCTCTTGACACTCCAGGGTTGCTATGGGATTTTTTAAAAAAATTTTGAGGGAAGTGCAGTGATACTTCTTGAACATTCTACAGACTCAGGGTGGTTCAACACTTCCGCATGGCATCACACATTTCTCTTGATGGCTAGATTTTCAGGGGTGCTGTGAAAAAAAGCAAATGTCACAGAAAAATCAATATAGAACAAGAAATGAAGGTGACAGTGTCCAGTTCCAAGGTTTGAGAAGTTGTGCAGTGACCAACAGGTACACACACCCCTCAGTAAGTCATTATGGTGATTTGACGTAAAATATTTTTTCAGTGTATTTTTTTTTACTTCTACAAATGGCTATTAAATTGTTAGGAAATAGGGGTGCCTGGGTGGCTCAGTGGGTTAAAGCCTCTGCCTTCGGCTCAGGTCGTGATCCCAGGGTACTGGGATTGAGCCCCGCATCGTGCTCTCTGCTCATCAGGGATCCTGCTTCCCCCTCCCTCTATGCCTGCCTCTCTGCCTACTTCTGATCTCTGTCTGACAAATAAATAAAATCTTTTAAAAAAATTGTTAGGAAATAAATATGTGTTAAGTTGTTTGGACCAGCTACTTAATAAATAGGACTTTTAGGTGTTTCTTTTGCCCTGGTGGGTGTTATGAAAACTGGGAAAGTTTGGGAACTTCTAGAAGCATACCCCTGCAGATGTAGGGAAAAGAATATAGAATTTATTTGGCAGGAGATAGGAAATCAGTAATGGAGTGTTCTTATTATAGCAATCTAAGGTGACAGTGACTTCACAGTAATTCTCACGGGAGTGTTTGATTTGAATCGAACTTGGAAAGGATGGGAGTAACCAAAAGGTGTTCATCCCAGCAGACCCAAAGTGTGATGACATATGGGAGCTAGACTGGTAGAGATATCTGGATATCTCATGTTTCTAAAATTAAGTCATATAGCTAGATGTCTTAAAATGATGACCTAGGTAAAATGTATCCCTGAATTGTTAAAAATGACCCTATCTCAGGGGCGCCTGGGTGGCTCAGTGGGTTAAGCCGCTGCCTTCGGCTCAGGTCATGATCCCAGGGTCCTGGGATCGAGTCCTGTGTCGGGCTCGCTGCTCAGCTGCTTCCCTTCCTCTCTCTCTGCCTGCCTCTCTGCCTACTTGTGATCTCTCTCTGTCAAATAAATAAATAAAATCTTTAAAAAAAAAGACCCTATCTCATAGTTCTATTGTGAAGCTTAAATGAGTAAAGTTAAAGAAAACAGTGCCTGACACATACCAAGCAATCAGTGGATGTTGAATATTGTTAATATTACCTTTTTCATCATGATCATCATCATTATCACCACCACCACTCTTAACCTCTGAAGGAGACATATCCCACAAGCACAGCAGAATTCTTAACCCACTGTAAAACATGGGAAGATTATTTCTTAGTTTTTTGGCAGGTTAAGAAGTCTGGGATCAGCTGGGCCCCCAGTGCTTTTTTTAAGGCTCATCCTTAATTGACTTGAACACTGGAAGGATTCCCTCGCATATTCTTTGAACCAGGATTTTACCAAACACAGATCTGATAAACATTTCCTAGCCTCTTTAGGTCCTAGTTCTATACCTATTTGAAACAACCTCTAGGGCAGCTCTGGGGACAAATTGCATTTTTCTTTCATTTATCTGATGGACTTAAGTTTTACTTCTCTTACCTGTCTTGGTATTAATGACAAGGCTGCATTCTTGATATTTTTTGGCATAAATCGAGATTAGTCCATAAAGTCTTTTACTCGAACAATCACCTCTTAATGGCATTAATAAAGTAGTAAGTTGTGTTATTAAGTGATTTGTTTTAAGTGATTTCTTTCACTTTATAAAATACTTTAACATGTTATTTTCATTATCATGGTATTTTCCCAAGGACTAGACAGGGCTGTCAGACAGTATCTTCATTTCATGGATGAAGAAATGGAGATCCGAAAGACATGACTCATCCGGGATTACGCAGCTACGTTGTGACCGATCCATCCCTAGAATCACAAATTTTCTAATTTCCAATTTAGTGCTTTTTTATGGATCCTGTACACTGCAGCCTCTTGCCTCACTCCCTAAAGTGAGGGATGACTCAAGGATGAACTCCCAAGGTTCATTCTCGGTCCCATCTTCTTCTTCTTCTTTTTTAAAATTTTTTTAAGATTTTATTTATTTATTTGATAGAGAGAGCGAGATCACAAGTAGGCAGAGAGGCAGGCGGGGGGGGAGGGGGAAGCAGTCTCCCCACTGAGCAGAGAGCCTGATGTGGAGCTCATTCCTGGGACCCGGAGATCATGACCTGAGCTAAAGACAGAGGCTTAACCCACTGAGCCACCCAGGCGCCCCTCTGTCCCATCTTCTAGCCTTGGGAAAATCATTTAACTTCACTGAATCTTTGTTTCTTCATCTGTGAAATAAAATAATAGTATAATATTACTAGACTTTTCCTGTGGGGTTGTTATAATGAGTGTTGGAACCAAGATTCAAATCCAGATGGTCTCGTTCTTGAGTTTGTGCTCTTAACTACTAGTTAAACTGACTCCTGTCCTCATTAAGGGATGAAGTAAAATTTAAGGGTATCAGTCGTGTAGCAAGCTAGATGTATTTGGGATGTAGTGACTATATCAGCTATCACTTCCCATTTAACTTGATCTTCTAAAGCAACTCAAGGCTTCAGAGCTGTGGAGAATAGGGTTAAGCTAAATGTTCACTGATTAAATGACCTGTGTTGTCATTCAAAATGTAAATACAACATTGCAGGAAAAAAGGCTAAGATTTTTTGAAATGTCGTTTTTCTAAAGTATTTTTTCAAGAGTATCAGAAAATTCTGTTTTGTTTTGTTTTGTTTTTTTTCCTTACAGCACTGGGAGGTATTCAAAAAGGTAACAGAAGTTTTCATTTTAGTTCCTGCACTTCTTGGTCTCAAAGGGAACTTGGAAATGACATTGGCATCCAGATTATCTACTGCAGTAAGTTTTTTTTTCCCACTTCTAAGTATGTGTATTACCTATACTGTTTCTGAGAAGGAGAACTTGTATCGGGAAAGTTTTTTTTCCCCTCTATCTGATAAATTTCTGGACCTCAGGGATATGCTAAGTAGTAATGGTTGATAATATCCCAGAAGTTCTCTAGGTTGGCTAATTTGTGAATTATAGGCCCTCCTTTATCCCGAGAAGTAGTATACTTGCCTCATTTTACTCCAGGGCATTCTAGCAGTTATCAGTGCGTAAGACATGGGACAGTTTAGATATTGAGATTCTTTATGGTTCAGTGTTTGGTTGACTGGTATTTAAACCTTTTGTGGTTATAAAAGTAATACATGCTTATAGCAAAAACTGAAGAAAAAAGAAAAAATTACAAAGAAGAAAATTTAAAATCACTTCAAATTCTTCACCTAGATAAAATCATATATTAATATTTTGGTATAGATCCTTCTATCTATATCTATATAGGTAGCCATCTGTACTTGGCTATCTATACTTACAGATAGGCATAATGTAGATAGCATATACTCTCTTAAAATCTGTGATAATCAGTTTGAAGATATACCATGATCATCTTTCTATATCAATATAGACCTGTGCCATTATTTTTATTGGTTATGTACTTTTCCCTTACATAGCTCTCCTATAATTCAGTCCATAACCTATTATTAGATATATAGGCTCTTTCTAATGTTTTGCTATATAAACAGTATTATAACGAATACTTTTATCATAGAGTTCCATATTCTTTTATTTCTTTTGGGCATATTCTAGGATTGTAACTGTTCAGGAAAAGAATGCATTCTTTTTTTTTTTTTAAGATTTTATTTATTTGATACAGCATGAGAGAGAGCAAGCATGAGCAGGGGGAGTGGGAGAGGGAGAAGCAGACTCCTTACTGAGCAGGAAGCCGATGTGGGGCTTGATCCCAGGACACTGGGATCGTGACCGGAGCCGAAGGCAGCCGTTTAACTGACTGAGCCACCCAGGCGCCCCCCCAAAATGCATTCTTTTAAAGCTTTTGCTACATATGCTAAATTGTCATCTAGGAAGATTTTTAAAACCAAAGCCCCTACAGGGCTCTGAGTTATTTTTAGAAGCTCAAAGGACATTGTTCTCTCACTGTAGCATTTGTTGGGGGTTCCCCATTGTGAAACCAAATTATGTTGATTAAAATCATGCTGCTACAATGTTCACAATAGCCAGACTGTGGAAGGAACCTAGATGTCCATCAACAGGTGAATGGATAAAGATGATGTGGCATATTGGGGCGCCTGGGTGGCTCAGTGGGTTAAGCTTCTGCCTTCAGCCCAGGTCATGATCTCAGGGTCCTGGGATCGAGCCCCGCATCAGGCTCTCTGCTCAGCGGGGAACCTGCTTCCTCCTCTCTCTCTGCCTGCCTCTCTGCCTGCTTGTGATCTCTCTCTGTCAAATAAATAAATAAAATCTTTAAAAAAAAAAAAAAAGAAGAAGATGTGGTATATATATATATATATACAATGGAATACTATGCAGCCATCAAAAGAAATGAAATACTGCCTTTTGCGACACCGTGGATGGAACTAGAGGGTATTATGCAGAGCAAAATAAGTCAGTCAGAGAAAGTCAATTATCATATGATCTCCCTGATATGAGTAATTTGAGAGGCAGAGTGGGAGGTTTGGGGGTAGGGAAGGAAAAAATGAAACAAGATGGGATCTGGAGGGAGACAAACCATAAGAGACTCTTAATCTCACAAAACAAACTGAGGGTTGCTGGGGGGAGGGGGATAGGAAGAGGGTGGTTGGGTTATGGATATTGGGGAGAGTATGTGCTATGGTGAGTGCTGTGAAATGTGTAAGCCTGATGATTCACAGACCTGTACCCTGGGTCAAATAACACATTATATGTTAATAAAAAGATAATAAAAAATGCCGCTAGTGGGGTTCGCTTCAGGGAACCATCTACCCAATTTAATTTAAGTCAAAAATTAAGCTATCAGAGGTTATTACTAATTACAGTACGTTTAGTATATGAAGTTAAGTTCTTTTGTTTGCTTAAAGGTGCTACAGTGAATGAGTCCATCTATGAACTGGGGTGGGGGGCAGTTGCATATCAAAAGGTAACCAAGAAACTGAATAGCTGTGTTGGTGATAGATACAGATGGAAATTCATTACTTTTTGGCGCCATGGAATCCACTTACATTGCTCCATTGTTAAATTTTTAGATCCAAGGTTTAAAGACCAGGTTTTCTCAAGCAATCCTATGAAGCCATTAAGTCCATATAAGAGTATTTTTAAAAAATATGTTAGAACAGCAATCTTAGACTTATCTGAAAATATTTAGAAAGCATCATCAAGCAATGTACAAAACTTCAGTTTACGGAACTACTTCAATGAAATTGCATTGTCACCATCAACCAAATCTCCAAACCTAAGAATTAAAGAGATTTCAAATTTTCATCAATTATTATGTGAGAGGAAAGAAAGTCCAGTAATTTGGTAACACCATCGTTCTTAGAAGTATCTAAATTGGTAAAACTAGCCCAAACCAATCTTGATTCTCCAATGACTTTGTTTTAAAGTGGGCATCTGTATTGTGTTACATATAGAAAGTATAGTGACCATAGGATCAACCTAGTAGCTCTCAGTGCTAAGAAATGATCTCTAAAAAATGTAATACTAAGATGGTAATACAGTTTTTTAAAAATTTGATTAAATTTCACATTCTAATATCTCAGAAGATATTCATCATATATTCATTATATAATGGTGACATTTGGTGTCAGCTGAATATTGATTTTCACACTTGGTGTTCCACCAGAATGTCCATTATACCGCTAGCTTTTATCTTAAAAAACAAACAAACAAACAAAAAACCTTTTCATGTGGCTTTACTGATGTTTTCAGGGTTAGTGAAATCATACACATGTGTTCCATCTACCATCTTTTTTCCCCAGTGATCTGCATTTGCATTATGCTTTCAGAACTGGTGGGTCAGGAAGGTAAAACTCAATCCAAGAGGTTTATGGCCAGAGAGGGGAATAAGGAAGAGGTCTTGAAAAACAAAACAGGCAACATTTAAAGGAAAAGGAAGTTACTGGAATGAGAGTTACAAGGTAGCTTTAGTTTCATTTTGTTGGAAAATGAACTTTGTTCTGATAAATATAGTTAAGCATACAAGCTTTTAAGCAACTGGATAACTCTGCCCGGAAAACCGAAATTTTGGCTAGCTTATCTCAGAGAAAATATTTCGAAAAGGAACATTCTTGAGCATTCTCCAGTATTTGTTTAGATTCAAATAAGAAATGGAACAGGCCACTCCATTTTGAAATAGGCTCCGCTGTAGGGAAGCCAGGTAATAAGGGATATGCTACAAATTAATTTCCTTATATTATCATTAACATTGAATAAAGGTGAATTTAATCTTCATGTTTAATTTGAACTTTATGTGTTGTGGCATTTATATTTTATGGTAGATATTTCCATCAAATGTCTGGTTACATTTATTTGTTCATATTTAAGAGAGGGCAAGTCCAAAGCTGATTAGAAGCAAAGGCCATGGGAGGATATGATAACCAAGGTCTTGACTGCAGAGTGAGCCCGCTGGGCCTTTCTTTGGGAGGTGGAGGTGGAATTGATGTCTTCGATAGATCGAGAATTTCCTCCTTGATGATAAGATATGTGAGTCACACACTGAAGAAATTACCTAGATCTCTAAGCAATGAAGACACCATAAACTAGATGAATATACTGTGTTTTCATGGCTTGATGCCATGAGTTATTACTTTTCTATCTACTAATTTGTTTCCTTTTTGTTTTTTGAGGCTATTTAAGATGGGCACAGCTCAGTCAATGTCAAAGGCCAGAGGCAGGAATGCTATTGATTTGTTAGATCAATGATTCTCAACAAGCAGTCTGTGATAAGCACTGTTAGCAACTTGCTAGCAATGCAAATTCTCAGCCCCACCCCAAAGCTACTGAATCTGAAACTCTGGGGGTGTGGCTCAGCAATCTGTAATTTAACCAGCTGTTCTTAGTACGTCAGAGCCTGAGACCCACTGTGTTAAATGAACAACCTGGAGGCCAGTGGGGCGGGGACCCAGTGAGAGAAAGGGAAAATAACAGGGCGTGAGATCACATTGTGAGCCTTTGTAAGGACTTTGCCTGTTGTGGGAAATGGAAAGCCATTGGAAGATTTTGAACAGAGGAGTGCTGTGATCTGATAGATACCTTTTAACAGATTATTTTGACTGTTGTGTTAAGACAGAGGTACAGAGGGCCAAAGACTAAAACAGAGAGAGAAGTCTGTTGCAGTAATACAGGCTAGAGGTGATGCTAGCTTGGGTCAAGTGGTAGCAGTGGATATAGTGAGACATAATTGGGAGTCCAGAACTAATCTTCAGAGAGAGATGACATGATTGCCTGATGGATTAGCTGAAATTAAATACTAGGAGTAGTCACTTGAAAATTTCTCAGGATTCGAGAGGGATAAAAGTAAACAAATTAATAGATGGAAAACTAGTAACTCGTGGTATTAAGCTATGATAACATACTATATTCACCTAGTGTATGATATTTTCATGCTTAGACAATTTGATCTCATGTTTGCTAGGTGAAGTACTACCATTCCTACAGAGTGCTAGGGAATCATTGCCAGTTGTTTTCTAATTCTGATATTGTATCAACTATTAAACCAACTCTAGGTTAAAGACTTACTCTTTTTTTTTTAAGAGGAGGGGAGAGAAACCAGAGAGAGGAAGAGAGGGGACAGAGAGGGGCAGAGGGAGAAGGAAAAAGAGAGACTCTCAAGCAAACTCCCTGCTGAGTGCAGAGCCCGACTTTGGGCTCAATCCCACAGTCCTGAGATCCTGAGATCATGACCTGAGCTGAAATCAAAACAGATGCTTAACTACCAACTGAGCCAGGCAGGCAGCCCCTAGGTTAACGACTTCTTCATTGCAAAGTCCCCAGAGCCTCCCCTTCCTTGTACTCTTCACTGTCTC